AGTACTTGACGCATGGGAGGTGCGCGTGCAAATCCGCGCGCGACTAGGAGTAGGCAATGCGGGGTCGGCGCGCATAAGGCGGCGTGCGACAAGGCGGCCGAGAGAATTTATGCGCACGACTTGGACTTCAAGTTGTGCTTGGACTGCAAGTCAAGAAATTAGGAATTTTTAGTAATATTATGATTTTATTACCATGTTGCTTTTCATTCTAGAATTAGAAGATCTAATTAACCTAGGCTTAGATTTATTTTATGCACCTATAAATAAGGGTCTTCCCTCATTGTTTTAATGGTCGAGAATTGATGAGTTGAATAAAAAAGAACGTTTGTTCAAAACGTGTGTTAGGATTCGTGAGAGTTCGATCATGCAATCGAATTAGTGAGGCTAAGACTCGAGCTAGTTCAAAATCGAGGGAGCGAGGCTAATTACCAAATGAACTCAAGTATCGTGAGAGAGTTAGGCTAATAACCGAGTCGATCACACCTATCTGTCGAGAGCAAGTCGTGGCGAGGCTGTGTTCGAGGCAAGCGAGTGGAACAAAACACACGATCCTTCATCACGCTAGCGTGCGCGCTGGCAGCAGTGCACAGGGCCCGACAGACAGACAGGTTTTCAAATAGGACCGACCGTTTTTAAAATTCACTCGACAAATCAACTTAACTTTTTTACAAATAAGAATAGACCCAAAAAGACACGTGTTCACCAAGTTTCAGACCCAAAAATTCTGTTTAATCTGAGCAACCAATTTTTACGAAAAAATGATGCAAATCTAATTTTACAAGTTCTCCGGTCAATCATTGGAATTTTTCAATAAAATTTGGACACAAGACATATAACACCAGAATTATGACACTCACCAAAAATCACATAGAAATACCAAGAATAGTAATTTTAATGATTTTTCGAAGTTTCTACCCAGAATTTCAAATCGACATTTGACATAGCTACAGAAACCCCCGCGGGCTGCCTGCACGCTCCCGAATTCTAAGACAAAGTGTTTGAACAGATGTTCTAAGACAAAGTGTTTGACACTCAAGGACTACGGCTTCGCGCCCCGCGCGTCCTTCCCCATCAGGCGTGTCGCACACGCCTTTTCTCTCAGCTGCTCCTTTGCGCGCGTGCTGCCCCACCTTTCCGTACGCCTCGAGGCATGAGGCCTCGTCCGCTGCGCGTGCCTCCCCCGCGCACGACCTTTCCACGCGCGCGCTCGCCAACCCCGCGCTACGCGTGTCCTGCTCACATTCGCCATGCGCCCCGGCCGCACACATCGCTCGCACATCCGCGTGCGGGCCACCTTCGCCCGTACCGCGCACACTACACTGCAGTGCGTGCAATTCCGCGGTCACCCTGCTTGCCTTTTGCGTGCATGGTATGCGCGACTTGCGGCGTTCTTGAGTTGCCTCACCACTTCCGTATCATTCTCGTCCCCTTCAAGCGATTCCTTATCCTCAAGGATGAAACTCGAGAAATGGTCACGCATCTCATCAAGGTCTTCCCACGTGGCTTCTTCAGGCGGTAGTTCTTCTCAATCAACTAGTACCTCCCAGCGGTAGCGCCCTGCTTTCCTTATCTTGCGATACTTGATCGCTTGTTTTGGACTTACAAATATCTTCCCGTCAGTCGCGGTTGCGGGTAAATCTTCACAGTATTTGTGCGCTTCACCTAGGCTTCTCTTGAGCTGCGAAACATGGATAACCAGATGGATTTGCGAGCTTTCCGGCAATTCCAGATAATAAGATACCTGACCAATGTGCTTCAAAATCTAATAAGGCCCATAGTAGCGCACTCCTAATTTAGTTGCCGCCCTTTGTGAACTGGTGCGCTGCCTGAACGGTCGCAACTTCAAGTAGACATACTCTCCCGGTGCATAATTCTCCTCTCGTCGCTTCCCATCAATGAAGGCTTTGGTTCGATTAATCGAGCCCTCGAGATTTTTCTTCAACTCGCGCAACATCAAATCTCGCTCCTCTAGTTCTCGACCGACTTCATCATTGATCGTGCCTCCTTCTGAGTAGTTGATTAGCGTTGGCGGTTTACGCCCGTACACTAGCTAAAACAGAGTCATCTTGGTCGACTCATAGTAGGTAGTATTGTACCAGTACTCAGCCCAAGGCAAATAGTTTTCCCATCTCTTTGGGAATTGATGAACATAATACCGTAGGTATTGCTCAAGGGTTCGGTTGGTTACCTCGGTTTGCCCATCGGTTTGGGAGTGATATGTTGAACTCATGGATAGCTTTGTTCCCTGCAGCTTGAAGAATTCGGACCAAAAGTTTCTCATAAAGATCCTATCTCAGTCAGAAGCTATAGATCGCGGAGCTCCGTGTAATTTCATCACATATTTGATGAACAACCTAGCGATAGTTTTGGCTGTGTAAGGATGTGTAATGGGTATGAAGTGAGCATACTTAGTAAGGCGATCTACCACGACCATTACTCCATTAAAACCATTAGAACTCGGTAGTCCTTCAATGAAATCCATGGTGATGTCTTCCCAGATTGCCTCAGGTACTGGTAGTGGTTGTAGCAGCCCACTTGGCCGACGTGAATCAGCCTTAGTACGCTGACAGTCATCGCACCTTGCGATGTAGTTCCGAACCGTGTCTTGTTGTCCTGGCCAAAAGAAGGTATTGGCTATCCTTATCCATGTGCGGCAGATACCCGAGTGACCTTCAACCTTAGAATCGTGGAAGTGTTGCATGATCTTCTCGCGTAGCTGTCCGCTATCAGGATCGAACACTCGGCCTCAATGTAGTAGTAGGTTGTTATGCAACTCATAATCAACAATGGTTTCTCCTGCCTCAATCTTCCGGCACACTTCTTTGCAATAGGTATCCTTTTCTTGCGCCTTACGAACTTCCTCCCAGATGGTCCACGTAGGCCCAGTGATAGCATTAAGCTCATCCACATCCGTCTGTCGGGATAAGGCATCAGCTACAACATTCTGTTGACCTGGCCGGTAGACTATCTCAAAGTCGAACCCATAAGCTTCGAAACAAACTTCTGCTGCTCGGAAGTCACAATCCTTTGCTCAAGTAAATGCTTGAGTGGTTGCTGGTCGGTCACAATCCAAAACGTCGCCCCAGAAGATAGGGCTTCCAGCATCTCACAGCTTCGATAATGGCTAGCATCTCCTTGACGTACACAGATAAACCCAATCGACTCGTGCCTAGCACCTTGCTAAGATAGGCTAAGGGTCGCCCTTCCTGTACTAATACAACTCCAATCCTAACATCGCTAGCATCCGTGTGTACTTCAAACAAGATATCAAACCTTGGCATTGCGAGTACTGACGTTGTTGTCATGGCGCCCTTCAGTTTCTCAAATGCCTCCTCGTTGGCCTTGGCCCATGTGAACCCTCCTGTAATACCCCGTTTTATTGTGCATTATTTGAGAATAATTATTGATTATTGATATTATTAATTGTCTTTAATATTATTATTTTTATTATTATTGTTATTATTATTATTGTTATTAAATGCCAACTTGCTATTATTTGTTGTTATAAATAATATTGCTATTATTAATATTAATTGTCTAAATGTTATAAAATAATTAAATAAATTATGTGTATTATATATGTAAATATTAATGTCCCATTTTATTTTTTTTTTATCGTCTGATTATATCGAACCCGAAAGAAATTTGGCACCCGGCCAGCCGACCCGGTTTATTTTTTATTTTTTATTTTTCCTCGTGCGTGTGTGTGCGTGTGAATTTGTCTTGGGAGCAAGATTAAACTTTTTCCCGCAGCCATAAGCAATCTGCTCCTTCAACTCTCGTAACTCCCTCCATCTCTCTTTCGGTTCGTAGCATAAAAGAGAAGAAAATTCTCTCGATCATCACCACCTTTCTCTCGGCCATCGCGCCGCCGTTACTCATCGAACCTGGTCGCTGCCTTCCGCCATTGTTGTGATCGTATTCCACCAGCAGTTTCCGTCCACGCTCGTGAGCCCCGACGCCCATCTCGTTGGCAGGCAGCCGTCCCAGTCGGTTCGAGGAGTTCGAAGTCCGTTTGTCCGCACATTCTGTCCGATTTTCAGACCGATTTGTAGATTCGTGGGTGTACGGTAATAGCGGCTTGACCCTTATTATTCTCGTGTTGATCTCTTGTTCACCTGTTGTTGTTCGTTTTGGCGTTCGTCTATTTCCGAGCCTTGATTTATTTGTACGAACCTAGCCCTGTTCGATAATTTTGTTTTCATCTTAATTCATGAATGATTAGTTTAAAATTCACTCCTTTCCAAAGCTTTCAGTTCCGCATGAGTGGAGAATGATATGGGATTTGTTGATTGTTTTTTTTAGTGCCATGACTTATTCTAATTGATTTTTGGTGGTAGAGTTTTTTTTTAGTATTGATGATTTCTTTAATGGTGCTTTACAATTTAACAAAAATTAAAATTCTGCTTTTATTTTTCTGATCCTTTAATTGGTTATGATTTGTTAATGTGATATATTTGTGCTAAGTTGTTGATTATGCTGAAGCTTGATAAATATAAATGATCTATTGATTAATTAGCATGTAATATATATATCACTGTGTTGTCGTTGCTTCGGTTTATTGTCGAAACTGAAGTGAACTTGTGTTTTCGTGGAAAATCCTGGAGTTCTAAGTAGTTAGGAGAGCCCTTGAGTTGTTAGTTCAAGTTTGGAGATGTTTCGATGTTTATACCATGATATATGATTTTTTCTAAACCGAGCATACTGCTGAACCGTAATAAATTCACTAAAAAACGTGTACTTGTCCAAATACCGTGAAATTTTATATGTGATATGCTGTGATGGTTTTGTAAGCTGTGTAAAATTTTCAATTTGAAACTTCATCTGTAGTCATTTTAATTAATTAAATCAGTTGCTGGTCAGAATTTTGTAAAATATATTAAAAATCGTACACTTGGAGTTTTGAGCTTAAACATTGAGGACTATGTTATTTTGTGGTATTCTGTGTTGTGTCAAAATTTTAAATCAAAATTCGAAGTGTACCTATATGAAATGATAACGTCGGATTTTGACACAGTATTTTGCTTTATTATTTAAAAATGCTTCCGAATGAATTTTGAGCTGAAACTTGGTGAGGTTATTTGTTTTTGTATTTCCTGTGATGTGGTAAAGTTTTGTATGGTGCGATGCCTGCGATCGCCGATCGTTCTTGTGTTCGGTCCCCACGCTGCTCGACACCGTGGTGGATCGTGCCTCGCGACTCCGCCGTGGTCGGTGTGTCATGCGTTCGAGCTTCCCAGCCAGATCATGGACCATAAGCTCGATCCTTCCCATGTTTTCGTTTGTAATATGTTGGCTCTCTCCAACGGTTTTCAAACTATCTTCCAACGCTTGAACTCTTTCACGGTTTGACAACATGGACCTCTCTTCTTTTTTTTGACTCTTCGAAAATAAATTCGACCAAATCCGAAAAAATATAAAACCAAGGACTAGATGACACTTTTTTTTTAAGACTCTCGAAAAAAATAAGAAAAATTCGAACAAAAATTCGAAAAATTTGAACCAAAAAAGAACAAAATTCGCCCCCCTCAGCAAAAGGCAAAACTGAAAAAAGAAAAAAAGATAGATAGAAAAAAAAAACGATCAGCACCTCTCAATGAAAGCACCAATGATCACAGATCGGATTTTTGTCTATTTCGGGTGGTTGTGAATAAACGCGCACTCAGGGCCTTCGTTTACTCACGATAGGTGTATCTAACAGATGTACTATCAGCCTTCTCCTAGACACTGTGACTTCAAGACGCTCTAATGGCCTTCTCTCTGACACTATATGTAAACACGCTCTACGGCCTTACTTAACACACGTTAGAACATAAGTTCCCTTCTCTAAATTGACTCATCAATTCAATACTTCATTCCAAGACTCAACATGTTTCATTATGAAGAGGTACATGGGGTATTTATAGGTGCATAAAATAAATCTAAGCCTAATAGATCTAGATCTCCTAAATCTTACAATAATAGAAATCCTAATACTAGAAAGCAATAAAATCCTAATATTACTATAATTCTAATTGCTTGACTTGCACTCCAAGAATTTCTAGAAGCTTAAGTCATGCGTCCCAACTTTATTCGAACGCCTGACGCGTACGCGTGTTATGCGCGTCGCTTCGCGCTTGCCTAGTCCTCCGCGCACTAGGCTTCATGCGCCCTTGCCGCACGCGCGGACCATGCGCGCGCCCAGCTCTCATCCGATTCTTTCGCGCGCGTGCGCGCTGCCTTTCTTCCCTATGCCTACCGCGCATAGGCATGCACCCGTGTATGAGCTTCACTCACGCGCCGTTGCGCGCCTTGCCCTCTCGCCAGCTGCCTTGTGCGTGTGCCATCGCGCGCCTACCACTCCTATGCCGTCGCGAACTACGCCATTGCCCGTGTGTGTTCTATTCGCGTGTGATGCGCGCTCCGCACACCCGTCGCTCTCTGCTCTGCGCGTGCCGCCAGTCGCCTAATTGTGCGCATCAAGGCCCGATGCGCCACTTTCGCCTTTCAGCTCCCCATTTTTACTAGCTCCCTAGGTGCTAACCTCCACTTCCGTATCACGCGCGTGCTGCCCGTGCGCGCCTGCAAGCTGCTTGATGAAGATCGTGTATCTGTCTCAACTCGAATTGCTTGAAACCCGCGCCGACGCCTTCGTACTTCGCGATACTTGTGAAGAAACTCGGATGTTGGTTTTATTTCTAACACGATAGGTGTGAAGAAACATGAATGTTAGTCCTATTTCTAACACGATTTTGTATGTAAACTCACACAAAAGAGTTGGTGAACAAACGTTCGATTTTCTATTAATTTCTTCGATATGAAAATAACAAGAGAAAGGGCCTTTATATAGGCACTAATTATGTCTAGTCTTAATCTACCTAGGAAACTAATAAAGCAATAAAATATTAAGTAACCTAAACAATCTAGATATCATAGTGCAATAAGGAAACCAAATAACTAAGGGATCTTGAAGCCTTGTCTTGCACTCCAAGCATAAGTCTTGCCTTACACTCCAAGTAGAAGACTCCTAACCACCCATCCACCGCCTTGGTCGTCCACCGCCCGCGCACACCTTGCCCTAGTCCTTCGAGGACTAGGGTCGCGCCTCCTACACCCGCCTATCGTCTTGACTCGAGGATTAAGGTCTCGCCCCATGAGTGCGCCATTCCTATTCCTTGAAGGATCGTGTTTCGAGCTCATATCCATTTTGCCTATTCCTACTAGGAATATGTTTCCTGATCCCTCGAGGATTACTCCAGTCACCAATATTTCATGCGCATTCCGGCACTCAGTTGCTTTTCCTAGTCCTGCGGGGTCTAGGATTCACACCTTGCCTATTCCTATAAGGATTAGGCTTACCACCTTAGTCTTGCGTCTCTCCGCATGTGCGCACGTGATTACACCCTTCGCCTGCATGACCATCTCGCGTGCGTCCTCGCCTCCTGCGCGGGTGTCGTGCATGCCCGTTCGCTCGACATTGTCCCTGCGCTCGCCCTGCGCCCCGTGCTTATCGCCCAGCGCCCTGTGCCCGGGCTTGAAAGGGTCCGGGACCACTTCCGCATCATTCCCGCCCCCTTTAAGCACATCCTTGCCCTCAAGGATAGGGATATGCCTCTTGTGCTCGTTCTCTTCACCAATTAGCTCTAAACACCCTAACTCTGCTCCTTTAACCGCTCCTCTCGGTTTGATTTTCAACATGATCAACCTATTATCCGAATAAAATTCCATTATCCCCTCCTTATAATTTATTTTGACTTCTCCAAGTCCTTCTAGCCATTGTACCCCAAGGACTATGTCAGGTCCCACCAACGGTAATGAATAGAATTCTACCTTGATGATCTCGCCTTGAAGATTGATGGGCACGTCTCGATAATACTCACGGCATCGCAGTTTTTCCCTATTGGCAACTCTTACGTCGAATGGATCCACCTTTGTTGCCAATAACTTCAATGCGTCCGCTAATATGGCACTAATAAAATTATGGGACGAACCTGTATCAACTAACACCTCGATAGATCGCCCTTGGACTGAAGCGGGCAACTTAATAGTTCTCGGCCCATGCACTCCTGACATCGCATTGACTGAAATTTCCAAGTCCTCATTGACGTAGTGCTTCGCTCCCACCTCCTCGTCACTTTCCATGTTGTACAGTTGTTGCTTGCATCGATGACCCGGCGTGAATCTTTCGTCACAGCAAAAACATAGCCCCTTGCTTATTCGGCGCTGCCTCTCTTCCTCAGCCATCCTTTCGCGACCATTTGTTGTTGAACTTCCAACCTTCGGCGTGTTCTCCACGTATGTCCGCGGCTCCGTGCGCGCTGGTTCCGTGCGTACCTCTGCCCGTGTTTCGCCCTTGCGCGTGTTTGATCGGCCCATCTTGCGCACTACAGCCAAGTGGTCGTCGCGCAAGCGTGTTGCTTCCATGGTTTTCTGTAAGCTCCTCGACTTCTCGAGCCTAACCTCAGCAGCAAGATCCGGCTTAAGGCCTCCAATAAACGCGCCTATGAGCGCTCACTCCGGCCAATCGTGTACATGACATGCTAGGCGTTCGAACTCCCTTTGATAATCCCTTAGGCTAGCCGTTTGCCTAATTCGCGTCAAGGCCTCATCAAAATCATAATATTGGGACGAACCAAACCTCTTGATCAACCCTTTTTCGAACTCGCTCCACTTCAATCGTTTGCCTTTGTTCGCGTGCGCCATCCATTGCCACCATGTATTCGCCTCTCCATCGAGATAATATGCAGCGTACTTAACACGTTCAGCCTTGGGAGTCTCGTTGAGGTCAAAATATTGAGTAGCTCGACTCAACCATGCGTCTGGATCCTCTCCCTTGAACGTGGAAAGAACAATCTTCGGTTTTTTGATCCTCCGTTCCTTGTGGCGCCGTGAACCCCTAGACCCCTACGGCGGTCCATCTGTTCTTCGTACGCGCTGTCCTCGTCCTCTGAATGCGTGGACTCCTCCGATGATGACCCTGGTGTCGGCTCTCTTGATGGCCTTCGACCACACCGTCGAAGCTTTGCATTCGGCTGTTAAGGATTGAATTGACCCGGATAGTGATTGCTCGAGCTTCGCCAATTGATTGTATGTGGCGTGTTGAGCATCTTGCATGGCCTTCATGTCGGGTTTCAAGGATTGCACATCTTCGATCATGGGATACAATCCGCTCTCCAATGCCTCGATTCTCTCTTTATGCGTACTCGTCATTTTTTTCCCACAACTAAACTCACGCAAGAAAAAAAAATAAATATATTATATATATATATATATTTTTTTTTTTTTTTGCTACTACTCACGCACTCACTCTCACAAGCCTTTTTTTTATCTAAAAACTCACGCACACTAAAATAAAAAAGATTTTTTTTATTTTTTTATTTTTTTTTGTTCCTCACGAACAGACTTTCAAAAAAACAAAAATATAACTTTTTTTTAAAGTAACGAAAAGAAAAAAAATCAAAAGAAAAAAAAAATTGAAAGAGGAAGATAAAGTCTAACAAGATACACGATCAATCAGTCTCAATGAAAGCACCAATGATGAAGATCGTGTATCCGCCTCAACTCGAATTGCTTGAAACCCGCACCGATGCCTTGGTCCCGAAGCGATAGGTTGCTAATACGCGCGCCGACGCCTTCGTACTTCGCGATACTTGTGAAGAAACTCGGATGTTGGTCCTATTTCTAACACGATAGGTGTGAAGAAACCCGGATGTTGGTCCTATTTCTAACACGATTTTGTATGTAAACTCACACACAAGAGTTGGTGAACAAACGTTCGATTTTCTATAAATTTCTTCGATATGAAAATAACAAGAGAAAGAGCCTTTATATAGGCACAAATTATGTCTAGTCTTAATCTACCTAGGGAACTAATAAAGCAATAAAATATTAAGTAACCTAAACAATCTAGATATCATAGTGCAATAAGGAAACCAAATAACTAAGGGATCTTGAAGCCTTGTCTTGCACTCCAAGCATAAGTCTTGCCTTGCACTCCAAGTAAAAGACTCCTAACCACCCATCCACCGCCTTGGTCGTCCACCGCCCGCGCACACCTTGCCCTAGTCCTTCGAGGACTACGGTCGCGCCTCCTACACCCGCCTATCCTCTTGCCTCGAGGATTAAGGTCTCGCCCCATGCGTGCGCCATTCCTATTCCTTGAAGGATAGTGCTTCGAGCCCACATCCACTTTGCCTATTCCTACTAGGAATATGTTTCCTGATCCCTCGAGGATTACTCCAGTCACCAATCTTTCGTGCGCGTTCCGGCACTCAGTTGCTTTTTCTAGTCCTGCGGGGTCTAGGATTCGCACCTTGCCTATTCCTATAAGGATTAGGCTTACCACCCTAGTCTTTCGTCTCCCCGCATGTGCGCACGTGATTGCACCCTTCGCCTGCATGACCATCTCGCGCGTCCTCGCCACCTGCGCGGGTGTCGCGCATGCCCGTTCGCTCGACATTGTCCCTGCGCTCGCCCTGCGCCCCGTGCTTATCGCCCAGCGCCCTGTGCTCGGGCTTGAAAGGGTCCGGGACCACTTCTGCATCACTGCTACCCTGCGCGCGCGT